GCAGTAAGAAAGCGGTCCGATCCGAGCGCGGTTATATTACAGTGTTTTATGGATATGTAATAGGCTTACGGCTATATGAAGAGAGAATTATGAGTAGGGCGGGAAGTTTCGCGAGTCTCCGGATGCCCGCAAACGAGTGATGATCTCCCGGTAATCTCGCGTCTCCCTCCCGGTCCTCAAATAGGCATCGTCACGCACCCTTCTCACCCCTCCCCACCGCATCTCTCCTCAGAGACGTCGCGCGCGCACCCTGTCAATCACCACCAAATCACCACCTCTCCTGACAGCTGAGCGGGACGCTGCAAAATAAACCCTGACACTCTGACACTCTCCAATGTAAGGAGAGTTTACTCGCACGTGACTTGTTTTAGCTCTTTTGGTCCGATTCGAAACTTTGCAGTGTGAAAGCGAACCGCTCCAAGAGCAAAGAGCAACATTGTAACAATTGTAATCTCTGTTTCAGAACAACTGAATCGATTCACAGGTGTGAAAGCAGCCTTAGTTTTGCCAGAAAACCCTTAGTTTTGGGAAAATAATCTGTGCACTGATGAGTAGAGTTGGGTATAGTTTGGGGTTATTTCGATACCGGTGCCAAAACGGTGCCTGAACTGATACTTTTTAGCCACAAAATAATGGTGGATGACTCTAGAAAAACCTTTTATTTGACAAAATCTTTTAAAAAAAATCTTTTTAATAGAACAATATAATTAAAGTTTAAAATAAACATCAAATCATATTTTATACATTTAAATTACAATAATATATTGCCTTTGATCATTTGTTGGTTAGCATCAATTTACGATTTGCATTATGGAATTACATTAGCTTACTACTAACCTGTGGAAAGGCTGTCATCAGAATACTGAGCTCTTTTTTTCTTGGGTTGTGACTATGTTTACATGGTTATCAGTAATCTAATGATTTGCCTGAATCTGAATAAGACAGTAATATGATCAAGATGTTTACATGAGTTGCTTTTTAAATGTTCCTTTTATGATCCCGTCTTACATGTTATAGTACATAGATCGATTACTGTCATTGCATCATCATGCGATCCATGTTTCCTCCAGAGTTTTATGTCATTTCAGGTGTTTCATTTTTAATGTTTCCACTTTAGCGGTAGTTTCACTTTCATTCAGGAACATTTCAATTCATGCTCCAATGACAAACATGTATTTGATGCGAGCATTAAGTAAGGACTGGTGGAAGAGTGCTCTTTTAATGGAATTTGATACCGCACGTTAAATGGAAGGAAAAAACAATTTTGCAATGCAGGTGTCTGTGATCCTTTAAGGTAATCAAAAATCACTGTTGACATAGTAGTCTAGACTCTTAGGGTGCTTTCACACCTGCCTTACAGTATTTAGTTGGATTGAATCGCACTAGAGTTCGTTTCCCCTTTTGGTACGGTTCGTTTGGGCAGGTGAGAATGCAGCAATCGTACTCGAGTGCGCACCAAAAGCGGACCAAATAAGTGTACCGAGACCTGCTTAAAGAGGTGGTCTCGGTGCGCTTTCAAACAAACCCTGGAGCAGTTTGTTTGTGGTAAGAATATGATCCGTACTAAAACAGGTCCAACCGCAAAAAGTACTGCGCGTTTTGAACTAATTCCGCTGCTGTAGGCCGATGCGCTGTGCATTATGGGATATGGAGGAAAAATATTTGTTGACAGCGCTTTACCAACAGAGAGAGAGAGAGAGAGAGGGGGAAAACATTACCTGATGGATCGTTGGTAATATTTCCGCAAGATGAGCATGTCGCAGTTTAGCTAAATTAATTCACGCCTCCTCCTGAAGTGAAGAGCGATGCATTAAACACTGTTTTCCAGCCGCGGTCGCGCTTCATTTTCGTAATGTTTAGTTTGTCTAAAGCAGGGATACAATCAGCCAGCGCAGTCGTCCCTCCAGAGTAAAAGGTTTTGTTTACCTGCAGTAGTTCACTGGCATTTTCCCGCACGTGAATTCTGACCAATCAATAAGCAGTTTAGGAAATATGCTTAACAACATCTGGCCAATGAGAGATGTGGATTTTATCAGATGACTGCATTTTGGTTTGTTTCAACTGGTTCGGACCAAAGCCAGCGGTGTGGTGTGAAAACGACCCAAAGACGGCAGAAGATGCAACAATGTATCATTTATTACCCTTGGTCCGGACCAAATGAAGCGAACTACAGATGTGAAAGCACCCTTAATCAGTGTATTATCTTAATCATATTAAAATCAGTACATTGGGGTCCATGTAGGCACTCACTGAAAGTGCCAGATGATGTTGCAAGCGTTCAGAGACTTGATTCCATGAGCCCTCAAATGTGTCATTAAACTTGACGTGCGTCCCCCTTACACGCAACGTTTGTGGAGCATCTGCTTCACGTTGCTGTGTCAGAGTCCTTGCTTGTAAAATACGCTTTAGAAGGCTTAGTTTAAACAACTTTGATGAACGCGATCATGCGTGTCGATATGAAGAGAGTCCCTCTCGCTCACCGAATGCGCTGTACTGCGTGCGTTGGGTGTGTCCGTTCCCTAAGCAACAGGAACAAACGCCTGACATCGCCTGTCTGTATTCCTCAAAGTTGTTTAGAATTAAATGTTTAGTGATGTTGTGACAACGCATTCGTATGTGCGCCTTTGATGCATCCCTTGATGCTTCTTACGTCCTTGTCGCAGCACCGAAATTAGGCACCGAAATTCATATGCTGATTCGCCCCGGTACATACCGGTTACAAAAGTACCAGTGCTATAATGTTACTGGGTTTTGATACCCAACCCTACTGACGAGACAAAAGTTGAACTTTTTGGTAGGAGTGTGTCGCGTTATGTGTGGTGTAAAAGTAACACAGCATTTCAGAAAAAGAACATCATACAACAGTAAAATGTGGTTGTTGGTAGTGTTATAGTCTGGGGCTGTTTTGCTGTGATAAACGGAACCATGAATTCTGCTCTGTACTAAAATATCCTGAAGGAAAATATCCGGGCATCGGTTAGTGACCTCGGGCTGAAGCCAACTTGGGATTTACAGCAGAACAATGACTCAAAGCACACCAGAAATTTTTGAATAGCTGAAAAAACAAAATAAGGATTTTGGAGTGGCCTAGTCAAAGTCCTGACCTGAATCCAATTGAGATGCTGTGGCAAAAAGGCAGTTCATGCTTGAAAAACTCTACAGTTTGCTCGCATTACAATAATTCTGCAATGATGAGTGGGAAAAAACTCCTCCACAGCACTGTAGGAGCCTCATTGCAAGTTATCGAAAACACTATTGCAGTTGCTGCTGCTAAGGGTGGCCCAAACAGGTATAAGGTTTAGGGGGCAAACACTTTTTCACAAAGGGTAATTAAGTTTTTTGTAGTTTTGTACTTTGTTTTATTTTTCTAATAATTCTCATACAGCTTTGCTTGTTGTTATGCTTCACTTAATGTTTGCTTGTGTTATCTTTTACTAATATTTAAATTAGACTTTTGATTAATACTACACTTCCACACCAATGTAGACGGAGACAGACAGACAGACAGACAGACAGACAGACAGACAGATAGATAGATAGATAGATAGATAGATAGATAGATAGATAGATAGATAGATAGATAGATAGATAGATAGATAGATAGATAGATAGATAGATAGATAGATCTAAACACAGAGAGATTGACAGAGCAAATGTAAAATGCATATACATTGGCTCCTGTGTGTCTGAGGTCATTTGCTCTGGTTAATGAAAGACTCCAGTTGAACATCAACATGAGGAGCATGACCAGAGAATAATGCATTTATTAGAGCTCAGCCTGGTCATGTGATCATCATCTGAGAGCCGCTTCCCTGAATCTCACTTCTCTACACCTACAGCAGGACGGGAACTGAGCAAACCAACAGCCTCGGTGCATTTATCAGGTTATCATTTGAGCACTGCAGTAAATATATGAGAAGTAGTCAGTAAGAAGTGCATAAATAATTGGGGATGATCCAGAATATTTCTTGTTGACTACAATATATGTAATTATATTTCTTAATTTAAAGGGACAGTTCACCCAAAAATTTCCTCAGCGTTTACTGACATTTAAGTGATTTTAAACGTTTATGAGTTGAACACAAAACAAGATATTCTGAATAATTTGAAGAATCTTTTATTTAATAAGTAGGAACAAAAAATATGTTCTATAGTCAATGGCTGGAGTTCATTTGAGTTTATAGTTAAGTTTTAAAGTAAAGTAAGTTGCATTGCTGTTACTGATAAATTATAATAATAAATGTGGTAAATAAAATTATAGTTGTATATCTAAAACATAAATATTAAAATGCTGTTCTCCCTACTAACTGAAAAATAGCTTCATTTAAAACAACTAATTCTTCAACTTCAATTCAATTCAATTCAATTAATTGAATTATTTCTTCAATTGTTAATTCTTCAACCACAAAACAAAGCAACTATTTACCACAATAACTCAAAGTTCTACACCATAATTATACTAAAACTGCTGTAAAATCTACTATAAATCAATACAAAATTCAAATAAGCATTAAATAATAAGTATATCATACTTAAACTCGTGTTCAGCAATGTGAAATAGGTCCGTGTTTTATTATTGGTCATCTCTGTCTGTCACATTGACATAAGCTGCACTTTATACCATTATATTTACATTCTGAGTACAGATTCTGAGATTGAAAGTAAAGCTACATATCAATACAACACACACTGGCTAAAATCACGTCTCACACCCACACAGACACACACCATGAGCTCCAGTATTCCGATGTCAAACATAAACTCACTCACTCAGAAATCACTTCAGAATCTCTGCTATGCGTTCGTCCTCTATCGATCAACAATTACAGCGCGGTTATGATTTAATGCGCAAAATACGCGCATGCGCCCTGCTAAATCTGCATGGAAGCGAAAGCATGGATGCCTGTCATGGATCTTTCATTTTCTACTGCTCATATGATCATCATGAGAAACACAAGTGCTAATGGGGAAACACCGGCGCGCGTTCACGGGCTACTCACTCCGCGTAACCGGTGGCCCAGGGCAGCTTCATCTCCTTGAGGATGAGGATGGGTCTGGAGATGTGGTCCGCCGAGCACTCCACCTCATCCGGCGACAGCGCGAGGAAATCCGGCCTGCTGTACGGGAAGCGGAGCGGCAGGTCCGGGTGGCTGTCGTGCGCGCCGGTACCGGAGGCCATGATGCCGCCGATGATGCTGGAGACCGCGGACCGCACGCGTGTCATCATGATGAAGAAGATGATGAAGATGAAGGTGTGATGGTGCTCAGACCCGCAGCGCACCTTCACTGCACTTCAAGCGGAACTGCACGCCGTGTGACGTCATCACGTGACAGTCCTGCGCGGGTCACTGGGTCACTCCGGCGACTCTGACCCTCTCAAGCTGTTTACATTCCTCGTTCGCTTATCGCATTATTTACGTGTTAAACGTGTGGTTCCTGCACATTCCTGAACTCCTGTTTACTGGAAGCGCAATTTTACCAGATCAATCTCAGTCGTAGGCTAATTTATTTTTAGCGCTGCATTTTTCCTTCAAATAAAATGTAAATAAATGTAATAAAACGATACAAATTGAGTGAGTCTGTTACACTTATTATAGTTATACACTCCTAAAATGGGTTGTTGTAGGCCAAATAAGGACATATCTGATTATTAAAACATTATAAATATATATATATATATATATATATATATATATATATATATATATATATATATATATATATATATATATATATAGACACACAATTCTATTTAAACAACGCTTTTTTCTAACCCAATGGTTGCATTTGTCTATATTTTACCCAAAGTCTGTCACAACAACCCAGCATTTTTTTTAAAGAGTGCAATAATGAATTGTGCAAATGTTACACAATATATATACATTGTTAACATTATACAGTATATAATGTTACATGCTAATTATTAATATGTATACTGTAAAAATGAGTAGAAATATTATAAATATAACAACATTATATATATATATATATATATATATATATATATATATATATATATATATATATATATATATATATATTGACTATCTATATAACAAACCATCCTTACACAATAACTTGCCTAATTACCCTAACCTGCCTAGTTATCCTAATTAACCTAGTTAAGCCTTTAAATGTCACTTTAAGCTGAACACTAGTGTCTTGAAGAATATCTAGTCTAATATTATTTACTGTCATCATGGCAAAGATAAAATAAATCAGTGATTAGAGATGAGTTATTAAAACTATTATGATTAGAAATGTGTTGAAAAATTCTTCTCTCAGTTACACAGAAATTGGGGAAAAATAAGTTATAATACTTGGTTATAATATATAGCTATATATATACTTAATTCAACTTATATATATATACATATATATATATATATATATATATATATATATATATATATATATGGGTTTGGAGGGTTTGAAAGAAGTAATCCATTAAAAAGGCTTTAAGACCAAGTGGAAGTCATGACTTCAGCTAATCAGTTTTAGCCAATTCATACAATTATTTTTCATTGTCCAACATCTGCTAGAAAACATACGATGTATACGATGTAAAACAATATGATGTGAAGTGAAGTCATCCTTCGCTACTGTATTGTTTTTGTATAAACTGTATTAAACTGTGTTGTATATGTTTTGTATAAAACTGTGTAAAACACCAAAGGCAGCCCTTATTAAAATGAATTTGAATATTAATTTGGCTATTGTGGTTATTTTCAAATGCACATTTTTTTTATAAGAGAGGCAAGTAAAATTGTAACGCTCTATCTACTTCATTATCCTTATTTTTATTTAAATGGTCAAATTTAAAACGGATTCATATATATATATATATATATATATATATATATAATTTTTTTCTAATGATATATGACGTAATAAATTTGTATTTTAAAAATAAGTATTTTTCGTATTTTCTTATTCTAAATATTTAGAAAATATTTTTGGTACAAAAGTGTGGTTATGATGACCATCTGACAAAAATAGTGCCTAAAATGTATTTAAATCTCATAATTAAACAGAAAATGAAGTGTATAATTGCAAAATGGTCCATTTTTTCAGAAAAAAAGAACCACCCCTTTCACCAATCAGTAATATCAATAAGTAAACAAAATCACTAAAATAAAATGTAAATAAATATTGTATGAAAAAGTTGGAACTACCTTTGATTTGCTAACTATTTAATATTTAAACAATGTTTGGGTGGGCTTTATTTTTACAGTATACTATATAAATATGCCATTTATGTTTGCTTTCTTGCACTTATGAATTTACTTAACCAAGAAAGCACTGGTTTATTGTTGTAAATAACACATACTGTATATGAATGGTATCCGCTGTGTAAAACATATGCTGGAATAGTTGGCAGTTCATTCCTCTGTGGCAACCCTGGATAAATAAAAGACTAAGCTGAAGAAAAATGAATGAATATATACATACACTGTAAAATATAATGATAGATTATTTTAACCCAACGCTGGATATATGACAAACGTACACCAAATATGGACAAACTCAATGTTGGTTTTTATTTTCTTAATTACACTGAAATTATATTTTGTCCACTGAGTTAACACAACCCATCATTTTTACTTAGAGTGTATAGAACTGGACTGCAAAATAAAGTGCTACAAACAATTGTATGAATTGTCAATGAAATGACCCAGATTGTTTTAATAAACACAGAGACCTGTAAAAGTTTGTGTTATTGTTCTGACGCTGCCAGTGTTTCCGGCCTAATCTGTCCAGCTTGAGCAGATTTAATGTTGTGTATTCAATATGGCCTGTTCAAACAACATCACACTCAACAACTGTTTCTATAATCCCGGGAGGATTATGAGATTTGTGCAGAATCACTGGACATAAATGCCATCTGTTAAAGCTGCTATCTGTCTAACGTGAATCACCAATCAGCCTGTAATCCATCTATGACAACACAGATAAAGGAACTCTTCAATATATGTAGATTAGCGCTGTCAAAACCATATGCCATTTAAAAAAGGTCAACAAGAATCGTACGATATTGAGTTTATTCTGTTATGTAAAAGTGGCATGGCAGTTTATATTGAGACTTCAGGTGAGTTATAACCTTACAGTTATTTTAGCCGTTTAATTATTTACTCATTCATTCATTCATTCATTCATTATCTTTTCGGCTTAGTCCCTTTATTAATCTGGGGTCACCACAGCGGAATGAACCGCCGACTTATCCAGCATATGTTTTATACAGCGGATGCCCTTCCAACTGCAACCCAATACTGGAAAACATCCATACACACTTATTCACACTCATACACTACCCAATTCACCTATACAGCATGTGTTTAGACTGTGAAACCGGAGCACCCAGAGGAAACCCATGCCAACACAAGGAGAACATGCAAACTTCACACAGAAACGCCAACTGGTCCATCCGAGGCTCGAGCCAGCGACCTTGCTGTGAGGCGATTGTGCTACCCACAGCGCCACCGTGACGCCCCTGATTATTTACTCTATTTTATTAATTATATATTTATTTATATTGCATTTTAGCTGCTTTTTGTATTATATTTTATTTTGTATTTGTATTTTAAGGTATTTGTTTAGTATTATACAACACAGTTTTAATGCTTCTGCATTTTGTGGTTTATTTATTTTTATTTTATATATATATATATATATATAGCAGTAATTATAAACCGCAATTGTACAAAAGAGCTTATATTTTAAAAAAGGTCATTTTAGTTTATATATTTAAAAAAAGCGTAAATTACCAGAAATTTAAAAAATCCTAGGAAAAAGGTCAGAAATATGATATAAAAAGTTGTTTTTATTTTTTTATTTCACAATTGGGACAATTCTGCTCTTTTTTGATATGTAAAAAAAAAAAGGATTTTATGAAACTAAAAATGTACAATAAAATTGTAAAACACGAAATATAAAATGTCGATATTTAAAAAAAATAAAGTATAACTTAAAAATAAAAACATTATTTACAAATTTTAATTGTAATTAAGTTAAAAAAGGCTGAATTGTGAAATGTTTACTCACAATTGTATAAATCAATAAGAAATCAAGTAAAAATTGTAAGAAAGCCGAAATAAAATAAAGATGTTTCTGCAGAAAAATGCCTGAATGATAAAATAAATTGCAATGAACTTTATTAATATTATAATTATTATTATCATAGGGACAAACCCAAAATTGGGATAATTTTTTCAGTAAAAATGTATATGAAACATTTTATGCCAACAGCTAATATTTTGTAAAGTTATTTAGAAGAATATAATTAAATACTGTAATAGTAGCCTATTTTTTGGACATTCACGACTCTTCAAAATATATTATTTTGTGTTTATGGAGATTATTAAAAAAATTATTTAAAGACATGTAATGTTTAGTTTGATTAAATTAATAGTCAATAATTCAAATTAACCCAATTTAATTTCAGATTGTTTTGTCATTGTTTATGCTCCATATGATTGGAGGAAAGAAACATGTACAAGCTTGAAGCGACTGCATTATAAATCATGAATAAATTGTAATATTTGGCTGACAAGAATACAAATGCTAGCTCAGAGATGCCAGGTCGCTGGTTCGATCCTCGGCTCAGTTGGCGTTTCTGTGTGGAGTTTGCATGTTCTCCCTGCATTCGCATGGGTTTCCGCCGGGTGCTCTGGTTTCCCCCACAGTCCAAAGACATGCGGTACAGGTGAATTGGGTAGGCTAAATTGTCTGTAGCGTATGAGTGTGTGAATGTGTGGGTGGATGTTTCTCAGAGATTGGTTTGCGGCTGGAAGGGCATCCGCTGCGTAAAAACTTGCTGGATAAGTTGGCGGTTCATTCCACTGTGGCGACCCTGAATTAATAAGGGACTAAGCCGACAAGAAAATGAATGAATGAATCAAATGATGTAAATGATTCCGATTTTTAAAAATATAAATATTGTCATTCGACAGATAGAGGACTATGCACAGGACAACGGCGTGCAAATCAAGGCAAAGACTACTGTAATTCTGTTATAAATGAGATTGTATTGTTTTTACTATAATAAGTACATTATAAAACAAAATACTGTGTTAGTTCATATAAAGCAATGTTTTCTAGTCATTTTGAAACATTATTAAATAAATAAGCAATTACCCATGGCAACTAAATTTATCTTCGGCCCACTAGCCTCAATCAAGTTTGGTTTTTGGCCCTTCAAGGTTTGGGCACCCCTAGCATGTTAGCATGTTA